GGGAGTGCAGTGAAGATGGCCCAGTGCTTGGGCCCTGCACCCCATGGGAGACCAGGAAAAGCCCCCTGGCTCCTGGCTCCTTCCCAGGATCCAGCGCGGTGCGCCGGCTGCAGCGGCGGCCATTGGAGGGTGAACCAACGGCAAAGGAAGACCTTTCTCTCTCTGTCTCTCTCTCTCACTGTCCACTCTGCCTGTCAAAAAAAAAAAAAAAAAAGACTTATTCTATACATCTGCTCTCCCACAATATGGCGCTGGGAGAGGAGCAAACAGCTTCTACGCAGCTGCCTCTCACCAACTTGACAAGCTGCAGGAGCTGCTCCTGATTGGAGGAGAGCAGCGTACTCGGCGTGTGGGCAGCAGAGTTGGGATTGGTGGAAGAGGACTATAAAGGAGGAGAGAGACAACATGCACCGGGAACATCTAAGAGGAACATCTATCTGAATAACACATGTGCAGCCCCCGAGAGAGCCGGCCGGCGGTGTGCCGCTCCCCTGCGGAAGTGGGGAATGTGGCCAGGGGGAACCGCCCTTCCACGGAGGTGGAAGGGACGGTAGCCAACCAGGGAAGAACCAGCAGCAAACCCGGGGAGGGCCGAGCAGACAAAAAGAACAGCGCAGGGTCCTGTGTCATTCCTCCGCAAAGAGGGGGAGCAACAGATCCTCAATCTGCTGGTTCGTTCCCCAAATGGCCACAACAAAGCTGGGCCAGGATGAAGCTAGGAGCCAGGAGCCCCATCCGGGTCTCCCACGCAGGGGCAGGGGCTCATGGACTTGGGCCATCTTCCACTGCTTTCCCAGGCACATTAGCAGGGAGCTGGATCGGAAGTGGAGCAGCCGGGACTCGAACTGGCGCACATATCAGATGCCGGCGCTGCAGGCCAGGGCTTTAACCCGCTGCACCTCTCGAATTCTGAGTCGCAGAATGTTCCAAGTTTCTCAAGAAAAACCAGGTCACGTGAGTTTTTTAGACAAAAATCCCCTTACTAAAAAGCTAGCACAGGCATCTGACTCAAAGGCAAAACCAAACCGAAGCCAGCTCCGCAGCATCCCGAGAGCAAGGGCGACCTGCGCGGCGCGGCTCACGGGTTCACCCCATCCCACACGAACCCGCACGGTCCCCGGGAGGCCTCTCCTCCTTCCCCGGGGCTCCCCGGCAAGGGCAAGGGCCGGCCATTGCGGGAAGAGACCACGGCACCCACAAAAAAAATTGCAACCTTGGGGGTGCTGACTCAGCGCGGAGGTCCAGCGGGAGGAGAGGGGCGAGTTCACCCACCAAGGCCCACCACCCACCGCTCACCCTCGCTTCGTGGTCACGCCCACTGAGCGGCACCCAGCGCCCAAGCAACCCCTCCCCCTCCCCAGCCCAGGGCCCGGGAGAGGCGGCCGCACCTGTGCTGGGGTCCCTCGACTCCTCCGCGAAGCCCTGCGTGTCCCTCTTCTTCCTACAAACGGGAGCAGACAGCAGCCGCTGGGGACGGGACACCCGAGCCCTCACCTCGTCGTGGGCCCAGGCCGGGCGACCCCGGGCGGTCCAACGCCCCCCCCCCACTCCCGGCTCACGCCCCCTGCCCTGCCCTGTCCGTCACAGCCCGGTCTGCAGCCCCTGACACGGTGGACAAGGGCGGCTCCAGGGCTCCGGGCGCGGCCCTGAGGCTTTAAACAGTCCTGGAGTGTCGCAGAGGACGGCACAGGGGACAAACCCGATTGCAGGCGCGGCGGGAGGGCGGCGGGAGGGCATGTCGGGGCGGGGCCACGCCTGCGGGGGCGGGGCCCTGGAGGGGCGGGGCCTGTGGGCGGGGCCACGCCTATGGGGGCGGGGTTACGCCTGCGGGGGCGGGGCCGCGAGGTCCCCGGGTGTCAGCCGCAGTCCGGCGCGGCCTACTCACAGTTTAAAGTTGAGCACCGCTCCGGCGTTCATCAGCAGCGTCCTGCAGAGCGACAGTTAAGGTTACCAAGGCTGCCCCAGCCCCGTCTGGCTCTCTCTCTCCCTCAGTCCCTGGTTCCCCCCCGACCCCCAATTACCCGAACAGCAGGATGTCTCCGATCATCGTTACGGCCAACGCGTCTGTCAGGACCGGAAGCGGAAGCTCCCGAGAGCGCGTGTGTGCGGGGCGGGGGCGGGGGAGGGAAAGGAGGCCAAGTCGGCCAATCCAGAAGCGACGCTGATGAGAGCTAGACCAATTGAAGGCTATGATGGGCAGAGTCCCGCCCCCTCAGGGGAGGAGCGCGTCCCTCTTCTCTGGAGAGGCCCGGAGCGTCAAGGAGGGGAAAGGTGGAGCCAGCGTGTGACGTCACCTGAGGGGCGGAGCAATCTATGTGGCCTGATCGCGCGTGTTGCGCATGCGTGAGGTGCCCTTTGCTGGAGGATTAACGGGGCTACAGTTCTTTCTCGCCTGCTGGGGTCCCCCGATTTGATTTCTGGAGAGGAGACCCCCGACCGCGCAATTGTCCAGCAGGCGGTGTCCTGGCGCACTAGGCTCCCTCGACACGGGTTCCCGACTGACAGGACTCCAGATGGGGGTCCTCCTGGGCCCCACGGAAGTCGGGGACCCCCTGAGGAGAGGTCACCTTAGGGGACAAGGGTCCCCCCACTGGGCGGTCCTCAAGAGGGGCGGGGTTCGTGACGGATGTGGTCCCACAGGAAGCAGGGGCCCCCAAGGGGGATAAGACCCTCGCTGATGCGGCCCTCCAGGGCGTTCGTCCCTCCTGGTAGGCTCACTGGGGTCTGAGCAGCCCACATGCACAGCCCAGTGGTCGGACTCGGCCCCCGGCTCCGCGCGCACCCCGCCTCGCTGGGCTGGATGGGGTCGTGAGGCCCAAGGGACCCGGGCCGGGACAGCCGGCCGTCCGGCTCAGAAGCTCGGGGCGACAGCGCTTGCGAAGCCTCAGCCGCGGGGCCGGGCAGGGGGTGGGACCTGGAGGGAGGGGCGGGGCCGGGCAGGGGGTGGGGCTGGAGGGAGGGGCGGGGCCGGGCAGGGGTGGGGCTGGAGGGAGGGGCGTGGCCGGGCAGGGGGAGGGGCGGGCCCAGAGGGGGGCTGGGCGGAGCCTGGCGGGGGCGGGGCTGGGAGGGCCCAGAGGCGGGAGCGGGGCGGGCCCGGGGCGGGGACTGGCGGGCGGGGGCGGGGCCGCAGTCTCCAGGCCGCGGGCGGCGGGACGCACCGGGTCGGGGGCCCGGGGGCCATGGAGCTGCTGTCGGCGCTGAGCCTGGGGGAGCTTGCGCTCAGTTTCTCGCGGGTGCCCCTGTTCCCCGTCTTCGACCTCAGCTACTTCATCGTCTCCATCCTCTACCTCAAGTATGAGCCCGGTGAGTTGGGGCCGGGGGCTGGCGAGGGGGCAAGGGGCGGGGAGGGGGAGAACCCTGGACGGGGAAGGAGGGGAGTAGGCGGTGGGAGGGGGCGGGGGAGACAGACCCAGGGACTGGATCAGGAGAGTAGGAGGCAGGCCCTGGGGTCGTGCTGTTCGCCAAGGGGAGAGGCGCACCGGGCTGTGGGCTGGCATCTTGGGGCTGGGGGCGCCGACAGGGAAGCCCTAGAAGATGGAGGCGGGGGTGGTGGCGGGAAAGACCCAAAGATTGGATAAGGGGGAGCAGGAGGCAGGTGCTGGGGTCGTGGGTTCTCCCAGGAAGCCCCCAGGACGGTGGGGGTGGGGCGGGGAAGCCGCGGTGTTTGGAGGAGGGGGAACAGGTGTGGGGGGAGCGTGGTCTTTAGAGCAGGGGGTCTGCCCCCTTGAGGGCAGGCAGGTGCGTGGACTTGGGCAAGGGGCCAGAGACGGATTGTAGCGTGGGTGCTGCATGTCCCGGGTCAGCGCCGCTGGCCTGGGCCAGAGGCCCTGGTCGCCTGCAGCCTTGACCTCCCTGCGTGCCCTTGGCTGGCCCGGTGTCTATATAAGGGCCGGCGGTGCTGGGGGACCCGCGATCAGGTTCAGCGAAAATGACACCCGTGTCCCCTCCCCTGCTGCAGCCTCCTCCTGTCGCCTCTGCTAGGGCCACGCTGGGTCTCTGAGCCCGGGGTGGGGATTCTTCCAGCCTTGGCTTCAGCTGCTTTCCACTTATGGAGCAGAACCGCCCCGCCCCCCCGTGGGTGATTTGAGGTCAGCCTCCTCCCTCCGCTCCAGACCCTTCTGGGGGGAGTAGAAGGATGGTAGCGGCCACTTCTAGATTAAAAGAGAGAATTTTTACAAAATGAGAATGAATGGCCTCCTCCGAGTGTGTTCTATTTTTATGCAAGCTTCCCCATGAGCTAATGTTTCTTGTTCACCTTCCTAGTATTTTAATTATTTTAGTGCACAGCAAGAAACTTAGCTTTAGGAGAAAAAAATGTGTGTGTGTATATATATATATATATATCACTCACCCCAAGCTCTGTGACTGTGACTCCCTGGGCAGGTGACAATCGCCCCGTCTCTCTCAGGATAGAAATGCCTTTATTCCCTTTTCGATTGATAAAAAATAGGTGCAGGTGTTTAGTAAAGCTGACAAGAGCAAAGGAGAAAGAATTACAGTTCACGTGGCGGTGGCCTCCCTTCCAGGTCTCTCTTCTACCCTCGTAGTTACAGATCTTCTGTAGTGCACAACCTTATGCAAACAGGATTAACCCTCCTTGTCAGGCGTCTGTTCTATTTTTTGCCCAACTACATGGCAGATCCTGTTTCTTTAAAAGCTATTCTGGAGCCCAGTTACTTTGCAAAGCAAAATAACCTGCTTTAAAAAAAAAAAAACTATTTTTGGCTTCTGCAATTCTTTTAATTAAAGAATGTATTTGACTTATTTGAAAGAGTTACAGAGAGAGAGAGACAGAAAGACAGATGGGTCGTCCATCCGCTGGTTCACTCCCCAGATGGCCACAATGGCCAGAGCTGCGCCGATCCAAAGCCAGGAGCTTCCTCTGGGTCTCCCATGTGGGTGCAGGGGCCCAAGGACTTGGGCCATCTTCTGCTGCTTTTCCCAGGTGCACTAGCAGTAAGCTGAATTGGAAGTGGAGCAGCCCAGACTCGAACCGGCGCCCATATGCGATGCCAGCGCTGTGGCCTGGGGCTTTAACCCACTGTGCCACAGCACTGGCCCCCAAAATAAGCTTTTGTGCTGTTTTCCCCTCTGGGGAGAATTCCTGGTGATTCAGGCCAATGACTGAAGGCAGAATCCAGCACAGCCTGGAAAAATCTACAACCTGGGAGGGTGGGACCCCTTCTGGGGAACGGGGGTGGGAGGGGAGAGAGGGGTGGTCTCTGTGGGCTGAGTAAGGGGCCTACAGAAAGGGTTGAGCTCAGAACAGGAAGTGACAGAGCCGGAAGTGGCTCTCCACGCTGGCTGCACCTTAGAGCCCCCCTTCCACCCCCAAGCCAGAGCCAGTGAATCCGTGTCTGGAGGCACAGTTGCCACACTCCCCTCCCCCAGGGACTGCCTTTAGAACCTGCCCAGGGCCACCTGCTGCTTTCCTGACCTGAGTAAATAAGGAACACCGTGGGGAAGCTCAGTGGGGCGGTGAGGTGGCCTGTGGGCCTCTGGTCCCTTGCCTGGGAGGCAGCTGGCTTGAGGACTCAAACCCAGGTCTGATTGATTCCGAAAAAAAACAGATTTCCCCAAGAGGGACTTGCTTCTCCTAGAACGAGGAGGTACCAGGTTGAGCTGCCTGTTTGGTGTGCAGGCTAAGCATCAGTACGTAATAATTTTGTTTTTTTTTCCAGAACCTGTATGGTAGATCAGCTGTCGAATTGGCACAGCCCCATACAGAAAGTCAGTTTGAGGCTCCTTGTTCAAAAAATTGCAGCCGCTATAGCAGAACAAGAACATGGAACTAAGTATGGGGCCCTTCTGGGCTCTGGCCCCTGTAGAAAGTCGGAGCTGGCTCCGAGGTTAGCTGCCGAGTCTGATTTGGGAATCTGCTGTTTTTAAGATTTATTTATTTGAAAGGCAGCGTGATAGACATCTTCCATCCTCTGGTTCACCACCACCCCCCCGCCGCCGCCGCCGCCGCCACGGCTGGGCCAGCCCAGGCCAAAACCAGAAGCCTGGGGCTCCATCCGGGTCTCCCACGTGGGTGGCAGGAACCCAAGTATTGGAGACGTCATCCACTGCCTTCCCAGGTGAATTAGTGGAGAACTGGATCAGAAGCAGAGGGGCCGGCGCTGGGGCGTAGCAGGTAAAGCTGCCGCCTGCAGTGCGGGCATCCCATATGGCTGCTCCACTTCCCATCCAGCTCTCTGCTGTGATCTGGGAACGCAGTAGAAGCTGGCCCACATGCTGGGGGCCCCTGCATCTGCGTGGGAGCCCCGGATGGAGCTCCTGGCTCTGGATCAGCCCAGCTCTGGCCATTGCGGCCACTTGGGAAGTGACCCAGCGGATGGAAGACCTCTCTCTCTCTCTCTCTCTCTCTCTCTCTCTCTGTAGCTCTGCCCTTCAAATAGATAAATAAATCTTTAAAAAAAAAAAAAAAAAGTAGAAGAGGAAACAGAGTAGCCTGGTACTCTGATATGGGATGAAAAATCCACAGGTTTTACCCGCTGCGCCACAGTGCCTGCCACTGGGAGTCAGTTCTTCCTGCAGTAGCAAGCTGGCCACTTCACTTCCTTGAACCTCAGTTTGCTCAGCTATGAAATGGGATCATTGTTTAGAATAAAAACAAAACCCTGGGTTATTGCGGAGATCTGTGGAGCGCATTGTCATGGTAGGATGTGAGATGTGAGAGAGGCATGGAGGTCAGAGGTCGCTGGGATTGTCTGGAGCCAGGCTCCCTCCAGGGCAGAGCTCGGCGTGTGGTCCTCAGGGGAGCAGCCTCTCTGTTACCCTGGGCCCTGATTGGAAATGCAGACTCCCAGGCCGCACCCAGGCATGCCGAGTCAGGTGTGTGGACAAGATGCCCAGGTGTTCCCCAGGCGGGCTGGCGTCCTGGAATGATGAGCGAGAAGGGGCGGGGCTGCTTCGAGAAGACCTGGAGCTCCTTAAGTGCAGGGAGGCAGGCCGGCGCCGCGGCTCACTAGGCTAATCCTCCGCCTTGCGGCGCCGGCACACCGGGTTCTAGTCCCGGTCGGGGCGCCGGATTCTGTCCCCGTTGCCCCTCTTCCAGGCCAGCTCTCTGCTGTGGCCCAGGAGTGCAGTGGAGGATGGCCCAAGTGCTTGGGCCCTGCACCGCATAGGAGACCAGGAGAAGCACCTGGCTCCTGCCTTCGGATTAGTGCGGTGCGGCGGCCATTGGAGGGTGAACCAACGGCAAAGGAAGACCTTTCTCTCTGTCTCTCTCTCTCTCACTGTCCACTCTGCCTGTCAAAAAAAAAAAAAAAAAAGTGCAGGGAGGCAGGAGCCTGGCTTAGCGCTGGACCCCTTGCTCCATGCATGGACAGAGAGGAGGCGGCAGGCTTGGCGGCACAGCAGGTAGAGCCTCGGCCTGTGAGGCCCGCTCTCAGATTGGAGCACTGGTTGGAGTTCTGGCTATGCGCCTCCCATCCAGCTTCCTCCTTATGTGCCTAGGAAAGCAGTGGACGACGCTTCAAGTCCTCGTGCCCCTGCCACCCGCGCAGGAGACGCAGGTGGAATTCCTGGCTCCTGGCCCTGGCTGCTGGGGCCATTTGGGGAGTGAACCAGCAGATGGCAACTCTCCCTCTTTCTGTCACTCTGCCTTTCAAATAAGTGTTTTGTTTTTTTTTTTAAAGAAAGAAGTCTGTGCACATTTTTTCCAATGTGTTTGATCCATGGTTGGTTGAATCTACAGGTGTAGAACCTGAGGATGCAGGTTTTTTTTTTTTTTTTTGGAAAGTTCTATGTCTAAAAAAAATGTTTATGTTTATTTGTGTATTTGAAAGTCAGAGTTATAGAAAGTAGAAAAGAGAGAGAGAGGAATCTTCCATCTGCTGGTTCTCTTCCCAAATGGCCACAACTACCAGGACTGGGCCAGGCCAAAGTCAGCTTCATCTGGGTCTCCCACGAGGGTGCAGGGACCCAAGCTCTTGGGCCATCTTCTACTGCTTTCCCAGGTGCATCAGCAGGGAGCTGGATCAGAAGTGGCGTGGCCAGGACGTACAGTGGAGCCCATATGGGATAGGGATGCCAGTGTCGTTCTGGTTTTTCGTTCCATTTTATTTTTTTTTATTTTTTATTTATTTGACAGGTAGAGTTACAGACAGTGAGAGAGAGAGAGAGAGAGAGAGAGAGAGAGAGAAAGGTCTTGCTTCTGTTGGTTCACTCCCCAGATGGCTGCAACAGCCGGAGCTGTGCCGATCCAAAGCCAGGAGACAGGAATTTCTTCCCCATCTCCCGTGGGGTGCAGAGACCCAAGCAGTTGGGCCATTTTCCACTGCTTTCCCAGGCCACAGCAGAGAGCTGGATCGGAAGTGGAGCAGCCAGGACAAAGAACTGATGCCCATGGGATGCCAGCACTGCAGGTGGAGGCTTAGCCTACTATGCCCCAGTGCAGGCCCCCACCCTGGACTTTGGACTGCATGGGAAACTGAGGCTGGGGCAGGGTTGGCAGTCATTTGTCCGAGGGCACACGTAAGGAAGCAGCAGAGCTGGAACATGGGTGTGCGACTTTCCTACCAGGGCACACCCATGCCGCAGACATGGGCGCCTGCCTATCAGGGCACAGCTCCCACCTGCTGCAGTCCTTCCCCCCTCCCCCCTCCCCATCCCACCCCACTGCCACTCTGGGGCCCTGGAACGATCCCAGAGGACATGGAGCAAAACCCTGGAAAGAATTCGGCCCCTGGGAGTTATTTTTAGAGGCAGAGGGATCCATTTCTGCAAGACGTGAGCGCCTGGCCCCCTGCAGGACCCGCCAGCTGCTCCACGGACTCACTCCCAGCTGAAGGTAGCAGCGTTTGAAATCAGACACCCAGTGCTGGAGACAGAATGGTGGTGCTTCCTGCGGGAGGACCTGGGTTCCCTGGGTTCCCATGGAGACTTGGACAACATTGGAAGGAGAGAGGAAGGCGCAGGGTGGGGGTTGGGGTGGTAGCTGCAGGGAGAGACTGGAGCTGGGGGCTTTCATTGTAGCTCCAAGAGGGATTAGGATCCCCTGCATGGTGGAAAGAGGCAGAGAGGCGTGGTTAGCTAATGGAGTGGTGAGCAAAGAGGAGCCTGGTGGGGCTGGCGCTGTGGCACTGTGGGTAAAGCCACTGCCTGCAGAGTCACCATCCATCCCCACATGGGTGCTGGTTCGAGTCCCGGCTGCTCCACTTCCGATCCAACGCCCTGCTGGACAGGAGCAGATGGCCCAAGTGCTTGGGCCCCTGCCACCCACATGAAGGGGTTGTGGAGGAGCTGGGACTTGAACACCCACCCCAGTGCAAAAAAAAAAAAAAAAAAAATTTTGTGCATAGTTTGTTCATGCTATATGTTTTCCATGAAGTTTTTGAAGACCCCTTGTCTAACAAAGGCCCCTTGATTTGGGGCTCAGAGACAACAGATCTGGGTGCCAGCATGGTCGGTTCCAGTGGGGGCCTTCCTCTGACTTCTCATGACCCCTAATGTTGGGAGGAAATGGGGTGCGGGCAAGTGAGCCCCACGGGGGTCCCTTCTATAAGGGTCTTAATCCCACTCATAACCTCATCTAATCCGAGGCCCCTGCCGGAAGCCCCGGAGTGTGTGTGGGGGGGAGTGCAGTTTCCGTATTTATGTCTTGGGTGGACACAGACATTCAGTCCATAGCAATAGCAATAGGCAGCTGTGCAAGTGGCTTCACACACGGTACGTGGCCCGGGGGATGCCAGCCACGCAGGTTTGACTGTGGACTCTCATCTCTGGAAAGAAAGTGACCCCCCCACCTCTCCCTCCACCAGAAGAAAAAAAACAACAAACAAACAAGTGAACAGATTCTCATCCCTCCTCCTCCTTCTTTCTCTTCTCATGCCTCCCTCCTTCTTTCCTTTTTTTTTTTTTTTAATTTACTTATTTATTTGATTATTTGAAAGGCAGAGTTACAGAGAGGCAGTGGAGAGACAAAGAGAAAGAGAGAGCAAGCGAAGTTGTCCATCAGCTGGTTCACTCCCCAGCTGGCCACAATGGCCAGAGCTGCACTGATCCAAAGCCAGGAGCCAGGAGCTTCTTCCTGGTCTCCCATGGGGGTGCAGGGGCCCAAGGACTTGGGCCATCTTCTGCTGCTTTCCCAGGGGCATTAGCAGGGAGCTGGATTGGAAGTGGAGCAGCAGGGCTCGAACCAGCAGCCTTATGAGATGCCAGCGCTAACCTTCTACACCAGAGTGCCAGCCCCAGGATAGCCCATCTTTTCTCTTTCCTTTCCTTCCTCCTTGCCACCCCCTTCTGTCTGTCAGTCTGTCTCTCTAATTTGAGAGGCAGACAAAGAGAGCTCCAATCTTCCGGTTTACTCCCTAAATGTCCACAATAGCCCGGGCCAGGCTGGGGTCAAAGCCTGGAGCCTGGACCTCCCACATCCGGGTCTCCCACACCAGTGGCAGGGATCTAGCTACCTGAGGATTTGGGGAGTGAACCAGTGGATGCAAAACCTCTCTGTGTGTGTTTCTCACTCTCTCTGGTGCTCTGCCTTTCAAATAAATAAATATTAAATAAAAGTACTGGGTACCAACTTCCTGCAGCCCCGCTGTGCCCTCCCAGTCTCTGTCAAACTTTCTGAGAGGCACTGAGCTGAGGCGACACTGAATCCATTTGCAGCTGCTACAGTGTAAAATGCAAAAGTTCCCGGATGCTGTCAGTGCGTCAGAACCCTGCCGAGACCACTGCCTCCTTCCATGAGGGGAGGAAAGGCTGGGTTTCAGAAAGAGCCCAGGCTCAGTCCCAGGTTTGCCCTGTGCCACCACAGCCGCGGGCACACCTTCCGCGCATCTCGGCTCTCCCGTCTGAAATCTGCAAACCGTACAGCGTGGGGCAGGAGTTTGGATGGGGCACCTGGATGAGGAAGGACACTGCCACCCCAAGGCTTGGAGGAGGTGCGGGGCAAGGTGTGCCCTTGGCACCCTGGTGACAGTGGCCGCCGCTCCCTGTCCCCGCCCAGGAGCGGTTGAGCTGTCGCGGCGCCACCCGGTGGCCTCCTGGCTGTGCGCCATGCTGCACTGTTTCGGGAGCTACATCCTGGCGGACCTGCTCCTCGGCGAGCCCCTCATCGACTACTTTAGCAACAACTCCAGCATCCTGCTGGCCTCTGCTGTCTGGTGAGCTAAGCCCAGAGCGGGGCAAAAGCTGGTCGGGGGACCCTGGGCACCAGGGAGGCGGGAGGCAGGAGGGACACACCACCCTCCATGCCCAGCTCGATCCTGAGGCTGGTGCACACCAGAGGGGGTTCTGGACACAACTTCACCCTCCCCCCGTGGTCAGCCCTGGCCCTCGCACCTCAGAGAGCTCCCTGCCCTCAGGTACTTGATTTTCTTCTGCCCCCTGGACCTCTTCTACAAGTGCGTCTGCTTCCTGCCGGTGAAGCTCATCTTCGTGGCCATGAAGGAGGTGGTGAGAGTGCGCAAGATTGCCGTGGGCATCCACCACGCCCACCACCACTACCACCACGGGTGGTTCATCATGATCGCCACCGGCTGGGTCAAAGGTAACGAGGGGGTGACGCCGACAGAGAAGAGCCACCTTGCTGAGCACTTCCTCTGCCAGGGCTCAGCCACAGCCGTGGTTCGGGGCTCAAGGGTGTGAACACTGGAGTGTGTCCCAGGCTCTCCATGAAGGGGGCCACTAGTGCCCACTGTGGCACAGCAGGTGAAGCCACCTCCCCTCCGTGTCACCAGCATCCCACGAGGGTGCAGGTTCAAGTTCCTGCTGCACTGCTCCTCTTCCTCCCCTCTTCCCCCTCGTCCTCCTCTCCTCCCCCCCCCCTTTTATTTATTTC